AACAGTCGTAATTGAAGCTTCCAGTGGAATTCTATCATCTGGTCTGCCAGACGTAGATGCTTTCGAAAGTGAATCTCCGCTGCATATGACTCGTAAGTTCGATGCATCTGCGCCCGTAGGTAGGCTCTGAAAAGGCGTACCTGTCGAAGCCATTCTGAGCGCTGAATTTTCATGATCCTCGTTCTGTGCCCATCTGAAGGGGTACACCCTCCGAAGAGCGCTCGAACATCCTCTGGTAGAATCTTGTTCCTTATGGAAAAACTGAGCGTTCTTGCCTTGCACACGGCGTTGACGATGAGGGCTACAACACCCGAAGGATCTCGCAGTACATGAACGAAAGAGCCCGTTGAACGAGAAATGAAGTCAATGAGGGTGGCGATTTGGGCTTGTTGGTATGGTTGCATGATGATGGATGGTAGCCGGGTACCCCAAGACCCTCGTCGTGTCCGTTGCTGAAGGATTGCACAGAAAAGTGCTGGAGAAAAGATGTGAAGGGATGGATAGGGTGAGCTCAAGAAAGGAAAGTTTTGCCGTAATTCCATACATGCATAAGGTTTCTCACAGGATAAAAAAGATTGCGGAAAAATGTGGGCACTAACGTAGTTTTCTCGGCACCCAATAAGTTGGTGAGTCTTTGCAGAAGCACAAGACCAGACAAGGGAAAATCAAATGTATGCCAAAAGAAACATAGAAACCTATTGTGGAGTGCATCATGTGTGTTGTATACCTCATTCCACTTACTTGTGGAAAGTGTTATATCGGTCAGACCAGTAGATGCATAAACGATCGCTTGCGCGAGCACAATAACAAAGTAAATAGTGTTGTTCCTGATGGTTTTCTTTCCCTTCATTGCCAGAGATGTAAGTGCACACCGAAATTCAAGGAAACGGTTATAATCAATAGAAGTAGGCACGAGATGACGCGGTTGGTATTGGAGGCCGGCAGAATTGCAGAGCTAGGTGACACGTGTGTGAGCAGCCCATCAGTGGTGTTGACAGATAAGGAACTTGATTACATGTATTCGCGATAGGGTTTGTGGTAACATGGGATAAAAGGAAGAAAGAAAAAGTAAAAAAAGATTGAAAAATATAAAATTGTAAAGTATTGGAACACGCGCATTGGTTATATTTGATGGTTTTTAGAGCTACGCACGTGCGACGTTGGCGTGGTGGATCGCATACACCACGGAGATCTGCGTGTAATAAACTGTTGTTGAAAGTTAGCGCTGTGTTGTGTCTATGTGCCTTCTCTTGTCCGTGTTCGTTGTCTGCGCTACCATCCATCATCATGCAACCATACCAACAAGCCCAAATCGCCACCCTCATTGACTTCATTTCTCGTTCAACGGGCTCTTTCGTTCATGTACTGCGAGATCCTTCGGGTGTTGTAGCCCTCATCGTCAACGCCGTGTGCAAGGCAAGAACGCTCAGTTTTTCCATAAGGAACAAGATTCTACCAGAGGATGTTCGAGCGCTCTTCGGAGGGTGTACCCCTTCAGATGGGCACAGAACGAGGATCATGAAAATTCAGCGCTCAGAGTGGCTTCGACAGGTACGCCTTTTCAGAGCCTACCTACGGGCGCAGATGCATCGAACTTACGAGTCATATGCAGCGGAGATTCACTTTCGAAAGCATCTACGTCTGGCAGACCAGATGATAGAATTCCACTGGAAGCTTCAATTACGACTGTTACGTGATTTGGTGGACAAAGTGCGCGTGAGTGCAACCTCCAACGTTCATGTGGCAGAAGGCATCTGCCTACCGGACTTTGTACTAGAAGTATTGGGACTTGGGCCAAAGTTTGCCGTGCAACCTCAAAAGAACAAGCCGGAACTCGTATCAATTGTACGTCAAGTGTCGAAGCGGGTTCCCGAGGATCAAGCCACCAGGATCATCAACGAAGGTGTGGACGCTTTAAAATTGTGTAGGCCTCCATGCCGCAGTTTGCCTCTCAAACACGTGGAAACTTACTTGACACAGCATGCTCTGAGTGTACTTCCAGTCGATAAAGAAGGAGGGTTTGCGGTTTTCTCGCATGATGAATTTAAAGAAAAGGCTAAAAGTGCTATTACGGCAGTGTTCAGCGAAAAGAAAAGTATTTCGATTGAAAAAGTGAGGGGAAAAGCAATAGAACTTTGTAAGAGGATGAATCTAGAAGGTGTGCTTAGCGGTATCAGAAAAAGTAAAAATGACAGTCTGGATGTGTTCTTTAGTGCTAAAACGCATAAGGAAGGAGTACCGTTCAGAGTGATAGTGTCGGAGAAGGACACGTGGCAAAAAGCTGTAGCTGTGTATCTGCAAAGAACATTAAGCTTGCTTGACATAAATGACCCCTTCCTGACAAAAATTCGGAACAGGTGATAAGTTTCGTCAGGGAACGAAAAAACATAGGGTTAAAAGCGTTTTCGGCTGACATAAAAGATCTGTACTATTCTCTGCCACAATCAGCAGTATTAACAAGTGTTGGCGAATGCATCGATGAGTACGGTGCCGTTAGATTTAGCTCACAAGCAGGTACGTCCGTCGACAATTTCTTAGAATTACTTAGGTTTTACTTGTCGTCAACGTTTATTGAAAACAATGGTACCCTGTATCTGCAAAAACAAGGAGTATGCATTGGCTCGTGCTTAGCACCAGTTTTAAGTAATTTGTTTTTGGCTGAAATGGACAGGAGGCTATCAGGACGCCTAAATGAATACAATGTTGTGCACGTATTTAGGTACGTCGATGACTTTTTAGTGTTTATCAATGACAGAACTGCAGATTTTGCTACTCAATGTAATAGCGTGTGTAGCGTTTTTCGTGAGGGGCTTAACCCACTTGAAGTGACTTTTGAAATGCCATGTGACGGAAGGCTCAGATTTCTTGACATTAACTTTCAATTCTCAGATGAAAAGACATGCTGGTGTTACGAGCCCAGAGCAAGTAAGCCTTTACTACAGTTTCACTCAGCGCATACTAAACTGGTAAAACGAGGCATTGCGAAGATGTGCTTGAGTGAGGCACTAAAGAAGTCCTGCCGGTGCCTCATGAATGAAAGCTTCAGACAACAGGTCTCGAGGCTAAGCAATGCCGGGTACCCCAAGAGCCTCGTCGTGTCCGTTGCTGAAGGATTGCACAGAAAAGTGCTGGAGAAAAGATGTGAAGGGATGGATAGGGTGAGCTCAAGAAAGGAAAGTTTTGCCGTAATTCCATACATGCATAAGGTTTCTCACAGGATAAAAAAGATTGCGGAAAAATGTGGCACTAACGTAGTTTTCTCGGCACCCAATAAGTTGGTGAGTCTTTGCAGAAGCACAAGACCAGACAAGGGAAAATCAAATGTATGCCAAAAGAAACATAGAAACCTATTTGTGGAGTGCATCATGTGTGTTGTATACCTCATTCCACTTACTTGTGGAAAGTGTTATATCGGTCAGACCAGTAGATGCATAAACGATCGCTTGCGCGAGCACAATAACAAAGTAAATAGTGTTGTTCCTGATGGTTTTCTTTCCCTTCATTGCCAGAGATGTAAGTGCACACCGAAATTCAAGGAAACGGTTATAATCAATAGAAGTAGGCACGAGATGACGCGGTTGGTATTGGAGGCCGGCAGAATTGCAGAGCTAGGTGACACGTGTGTGAGCAGCCCATCAGTGGTGTTGACAGATAAGGAACTTGATTACATGTATTCGCGATAGGGTTTGTGGTAACATGGGATAAAAGGAAGAAAGAAAAAGTAAAAAAAGATTGAAAAATATAAAATTGTAAAGTATTGGAACACGCGCGTTGGTTATATTTGATGGTTTTTAGAGCTACGCACGTGCGACGTTGGCGTGGTGGATCGCATACACCACGGAGATCTGCGTGTAATAAACTGTTGTTGAAAGTTAGCGCTGTGTTGTGTCTATGTGCCTTCTCTTGTCCGTGTTCGTTGTCTGCGCTACCATCCATCATCATGCAACCATACCAACAAGCCCAAATCGCCACCCTCATTGACGAAGAGATGATTTGACACCGGTAGGATCTTAACCTGCAACTTCCGATTAATGTGCTCTATGCTCTCTGCAACTGAGCTACGATGGTGGTCATCCAACTGTTAGCTTTATATGGTATACGTGTGCATTTCATTGTGGGCGCGTCAGTTATTGCCGCTTGTTGCCCTTGTGGCGAGTGTGGAACATTCTTATTGCCTGTTAGCATCACGCAGCAAGCGATTCTATTACGAGCACATCAAATGTCGTAATATGACGACCGAGGCGTAAAGTCTTGACACGTCGGTGCTCTCTTGCATCGTTTTATCAATTAGGTAAGCACCGCACCATAGGTGTCATAGCTTCTTTCGATAATTCTACAGTTCAGTTCTTGTAATGGCATATCATGTTTTACACTCGAAAGGAATTTTTTCCAAGCAATGATCTGGTGAAAATGGAAGATATTTTCTGCGTTTTTTTCTCTCTATCACTAATCTGCCAATGAAACAGCATATGAGTTCTATGGAATGAGGCCAAGTATTGATTGATTTGTGGGGTTTAACGTCCCAAAACCACCACATGATTATGAGAGACGCAGTAGTGGAGGGCTCCGGAAATTTCGACCACCTGGGGTTCTTTAACGTGCAGACGCCAAGTATTCACCCAACATTTCATCACACCAGAATGATCTTACCCTCCATTGGCATTATTTCCTGTTCATACACGTGGTACGAAACACCCTCAGAAGACGATGGGTGGCCATTTTCCGAACGTATTGGCGTCTCTTGATGGTTATAGCGCCAATCCCGCTTAATTTGTCTCCTTTTTCACGCCTATTGTTTGCTAACGTGAAAATAGTCCAAAACTATTCCAATATGTACTGTATCCTAAATAAATACATTACACGTGCGTGTTCGCCAATAAAGAATATATAATCCGACGTTAGGCGTAGGTTCATGCTGACGACAAGAGCTGATCCCGTTACTACGGAGTCATTGTTATTATTTTCTCCATAATCAAGAAGTATTACGACGTATGCGTAGATAGAGTGAAGATTTTATATTTATTTCACTTTGATTACCGAGCACTCATTTCACAATTTCACCATTCAGTAAAATATAAAGCTTCATATTTTTGCCTCAGGGAAGAAACTCCGTTACCCGGTGCTATTTTGCACCGAGCGTAAGTTGAACTCAAGGTGGTCAAAGCATGCTTTGTTCACATTTTATTAGCGCCGCCTTTTAACTACCTCGACAGGGTACTGACGGCGTATCGTTCGGCATCCACCATTCACGCAAACTTTCTGCAAAAAAAATGTGTAGCCGATTGAGTGTAAGTAATTCTACTGCTGGAAGAAAAGAGCAAACTCAATACATTAATATTAACTTATGTTTGAACACGAAGAGATCACTGAGCTCTGAGGTGATATTTTTCTTAAAGCGAAAAAAGACAGCAGATACGACGTACCTATATGAATAATCAATGTTATACGAAGCATGCGGATGTAGGTGAATGTGTTTCAATTATTTTTATTGAGTGATACCTTATGAAGATGCGCTCAGTATCTTCTCAAATCAACACATACGCATACGTTAGATATCCCCAGATGTTTTATGTTGGGAGTTTTTTGTAGTTTCGTAACGACGCAAACAGCAACAAATCTATTAAAAACACCAGAAACGTTAGGCCGATGTGAAGCGCTGGTGTTTGCGCTTGTGCTCGCGAAATAGTAGCTCTGGACAATACTACATAAATCAACTTCAGCGGATGGCATCTACCTACAAATGTCGTTGACCCGACATGACAGGTTAATCATATTAGAACACATCTATTGTTAATAAAATTTGATAGCCAATACTGCAACCAGAACTGATGTTTCACTAACATTGTGGGAATTGAGGCTGGCCCGCTGCCTTTGCGCGGGCTTTCCCGCCTTTCTGCCATTCTCATGTCCCGACATGTCTGCCCTCCTTTGCTGTCTGCCGCGCCGGGAAGGGCAGAGTGACGTTTACCTCCCTCACCCGGTAGCGGATGTCGACTGTGGCGCCGCGCGGGGAGCCTCCCGAGAGGTTTTCCGCGCGCTGCGTCGGGAGCGGGGAGTACAGTCCGGGACTTCAAACGGTGAGCCACGCATTCTTTTCCGTCCGTCGAGTCCCGTCGCTCGGGACTCGTCGGACTTCGCTGACGGCGCCTCGCGCCCGATGCGAACGCTCACCTTTTGTTGCCCCGCTGCGTACTCACGGCCGAAGGGCAGTACGGTGTCCTAGTGCGTGGCCTAGCTACGCCGACCCGTCTCCCTTCGAAGCCAACGCGAGCGCCTTTGCCCTCGCTCGAGCAACCGGGCCCTTTGTCCCGGTGTCTCCGTGGGTCACCTTTACCGCGGAGACGTGCTCGTGGCACCCTGTGTAGTACTTTGTGCCCGTGGCGTGGATAAGCCTACTTGCTTTCCCGCCGCGCCTTTTTGCAACGGGCTGTACTGCGTTTGGTGTTGCCACAATAAAGTGTTGCGACTTGAGCAGTATCGTGTTTCCCGCCACGGCGACGGTTAACGCGTGCCCTGCGGCTCGCTAAGACCGGACCCACGCTGGTGGCCGTACTCCTTCGGGATACGTGTACACCACACTGGCGCCCAACGCGGTATCAAAAGCTCTAGCTTTTGATTGCTCTTCGCGAGTCAATTCGCCTGTGCGATTCGGGCTCGTCGCAACATGGCTGCTTCGCGGGACTTTTGTCCGCTGTCCCTTTTAGCGGATGCCGCGTTGCACACGGAGGCCATTGCCTTTATGGACGGGAACCCTTCTGCACCCGTCCGTGTCGGCACCCCCTATTGCGGTGACGACACGAGGCGCCTAGCCGCTCCCTTTGGAGATGGCGCGTCGCTTCGGAATGGGCCTCTTGCCCTATCCGAACGTTACGCACAAGCGCCTCCGACGCCCGTCCGTGTCGGCACCCCCTATTGCGGTGACGACACGAGGCGCCTAGCCGCTCCCTTTGGAGATGGCGCGTCGCTTCGGAATGGGCCTCTTGCCCTACCCGAACGTTACGCACAAGCGCCTCCGACGCCCGTCCGTGTCGGCACCCCCTATTGCGGTGACGACACGAGGCGCCTAGCCGCTCCCTTTGGAGATGGCGCGTCGCTTCGGAATGGGCCTCTTGCCCTACCCGAACGTTACGCACAAGCGCCTCCGTCGCCCGTCCGTGTCGGCACCCCCTATTGCGGTGACGACACGAGGCGCCTAGCCGCTCCCTTTGGAGATGGCGCGTGGCTTCGGAATGGGCCTCTTGCCCTACCCGAACGTTATGTCTGCTTCGTGGCATGCCGCGTTGCACCAAGAGGCCACCGCCTCTATCGACGGGCGCCCTTCGGCGCTCGCCTGTGTCGTCACCCCTTTTTGTGGTGAATACACTCCTACGTGGTAGCTGACGCGCTATCTCGTGCCCCTTGTTGTCTGCCGAGAACCTGGATTTCGGTGCGACGGCCGCTCGCGGTGCCTTAGCACATGCAAGCGTCGGGGGCGAAACAGCAGCTTCGCCGCCATTCGGCGAGAAGGGTGAGTCCCCATGCGGACAAACCTTGGCTGCTAACCAGGTAAGCGGCGCACCGCGAAGCGGCCGAGCGGGGGAGCTTTCCGAAGGCCACGAGGCCGAGAGCGAACCCGTAACGCCGACTCACGCGGCGGTTGCTGCGGTCCTGAGTGGGCGCGATACCAGACTCCCCCATTTGGGAGAATGGGAATTGCTTTCGGCAGCGAAGAGCTACTGAAGGCTCAGCAGAGTGATCCGTGTCGAGTCTCGGAGGGGCGGAGCGCCGTATACGCTGCTTGCTTTGCGGCGGGCGCCGTTAAACCGTCTTGACGAGGCGCGGAGCGCCGTTACGCTGCTTGTTCTGCGGCGGGCGCGATTACGGGGCTGAAACAGCGTGTGTCGCTGAGTCCCCGGCGGATTCATTTTGCTGGACCATGACGGGCTCCTGCTGAAATATATAGCCACTGACGACGAGTCCATAGACCCGTTTAAGGTGGCTATGCCCAAAAGTCTGAGAGCCGCACTGTTGCGATCCTCTCACGACGAACCCATGGCCGGTCACCTGAGTGGCTCGAAAGTTTTTGCAAACTGAGCAATGTTGTGACCTGGCCCGGCACGAAGCGTGGCTTTTATCGCTATTCCGTGCCTGCCACGTCTGACAAACGGTTGAGCCAAGGGTTGGAAAGCCGCCCGGTCTTATGAACCGATTGTCAGTGAGCGTCCGTGGCGCGTACTAGCTGAAAGATCCCCTTTGGGAAAACTCAGCCGTGCCCACATCGCAGACCTGAAGCCCTTTGTCACGGTCTGACGAGCTCGCGCCAGTGCCCTGCGGCACTTCGCGCAAGCAACGGGCACACCCGGAGCGACGGACCGCATTCGGACCCCGCGCCGGTATAATCTGAGGAAGCGGTCACCTTTGTGATTTCGCGCCGGACGGCGGACTTCTCCGCAACCGAAGGCCCTCAGTTTACTGTCTAGCCTCAGTATAGGTTAGCTTCTTTACGGCCTTTTCTCGTAAAGGAGTTGACCCCGCCCTGTCTGCTGCCAGTGTTTTTTTTTTTGAAGTGTTCATGTGTATTTTATGTTTCTTTTGTCTAATATTAAGTGTTTTATGTTTTTTGCCAGATATTGAATGTCATTTTTGCTCTGTTTTTACTTTTTTTTTCCGTGTTCGTTTCGTCTACCGCGAAGGGAGCTGTGTGTGACCTTCAGTGTCGGTGCTTGCCGGGAGAGAGAGACGAAGGACGCTTTGCGCCTACGCTCGCGCAGCTGTCGGCGGTGTGTGTGCGTGCTTCTGTGCGTGTGTAAGTGCGTGACGCTTCAGTGCGAGCCCGCGAAGAGTGCGTCATGGCTGCCCTCCATCGACGCGGACACTGGAGGTGCTGGGGGGTCATTGACCCACTGACGTCAGACCATCTGGCTGTGCTCTGCTCTTGGCCGTCGCCGAAGAAGCCGTGCTGCCTTTTCCACCATGGCTCCTGCGCGAGGCCAGCTGAAAGCAGCTATATGCTGCCGGCCAACGCCAGGGCGCCTCGCAGCCAATTTTGGTTCGGCCTCCCTGACCACCGGAGAGGCCCGGCTTCCCGCAACGTCCAGCTTCGTCATCGAGCCGGAAATGCGGGGCCTCCGAACAACCGAAGCGGCTTTCGTCGGACTCGCGGCTTATCAAGAGCAGCAACAAGCCATCAGTGAGCCCCCTTCCGGTACCTGTGACCTCGCACTCGGGCATCGCACCCAGCGGACACTGTCACGCCTTTACCGCACCTCCGCGCACTGGACGCTATCCCCCTTTAGCACCACGAACACTAGTGCCACGTTGCTGTGCTCCCTTCTGCAGTATCTCTATAGTGTCGTGTGTTTATTTTGTTATTTATGTTTTTGTTTCTCCTTTGTAATCATATTTTTTTTAAAGTAGCAGGGCTGGACTGAGGTTAGCTACCGCTCATTGCAGTGTCATTTTAACTGCATGGGTGACGTCCGGCTGCCTTTTGCAGACCGGTAAAGGACAAGTTTAGGAGAGGGGGATGTGGGAATTGAGGCTGGCCCGCTGCCTTTGCGCGGGCTTTCCCGCCTTTCTGCCATTCTCATGTCCCGACATGTCTGCCCTCCTTTGCTGTCTGCCGCGCCGGGAAGGGCAGAGTGACGTTTACCTCCCTCACCCGGTAGCGGATGTCGACTGTGGCGCCGCGCGGGGAGCCTCCCGAGAGGTTTTCCGCGCGCTGCGTCGGGAGCGGGGAGTACAGTCCGGGACTTCAAACGGTGAGCCACGCATTCTTTTCCGTCCGTCGAGTCCCGTCGCTCGGGGCTCGTCGGACTTCGCTGACGGCGCCTCGCGCCCGATGCGAACGCTCACCTTTTGTTGCCCCGCTGCGTACTCACGGCCGAAGGGCAGTACGGTGTCCTAGTGCGTGGCCTAGCTACGCCGACCCGTCTCCCTTCGAAGCCAACGCGAGCGCCTTTGCCCTCGCTCGAGCAACCGGGCCCTTTGTCCCGGTGTCTCCGTGGGTCACCTTTACCGCGGAGACGTGCTCGTGGCACCCTGTGTAGTACTTTGTGCCCGTGGCGTGGATAAGCCTACTTGCTTTCCCGCCGCGCCTTTTTGCAACGGGCTGTACTGCGTTTGGTGTTGCCACAATAAAGTGTTGCGACTTGAGCAGTATCGTGTTTCCCGCCACGGCGACGGTTAACGCGTGCCCTGCGGCTCGCTAAGACCGGACCCACGCTGGTGGCCGTACTCCTTCGGGATACGTGTACACCACAACATTAAAGTCTTATTACAAAGTGTTTCTGAAATCTCACTTGGATCTGTGGTAAAAATTGTTTATTTCAACGCAGAACGCTGTAGTTTGATTCCTACAGGGACGCTGTCATTTATTGTTTGAATTTGTCCGCTCAACGCTTACCATGTCAACTTTTTCTTAACACTAAAGTGTGAAAACTACCCATGTGTGTTCTCATCGTTCCTGTGTAGATATAAATGTCTATCACCTGCAGCACATACCAGTATTCTAGTGGCGCATACCCGCCTCCTGGTATGAGCCACTGTTTTTTGAAAAGTGTTTGAGGATTTACGCAAAAAGACTGTCACATTATTTATGTAATTACCAATGTGTCGCATTCGTAAAACCATCTAACTCGGCTGTACTGATTTTGGTGTACTCCAAGTTGAAAGGGTGATCATAGAGCACCCAGACGTAGGTGGATAGATAGATAGATATATAGATAGATAGATAGATAGATAGATAGATAGATAGATAGATAGATAGATAGATAGATAGATAGATAGATAGATAGATAGGTTCATGACAAGACAAGCGCAAAAATACACACTCAGAGAGGACACAGACAAGCGCTTGTCTGTGTCCTCTCTGAGTGTGTGTATTTTTGCGCTCGTCTCGCCACGAACCTTTACCAACACGCCCAACTGGCAGTCATCCTAAATATAGATAGATAGATAGATAGATAGATAGATAGATAGATAGACAGACAGACAGACAGACAGACAGACAGACAGAAAGACAGACAGACAGACAGACAGACAGATAGATAGATAGATAGATAGATAGATAGATAGATAGATAGATAGATAGATAGATAGATAGATAGATACCAAAAGTGGTTGCAGTACGCAAATAAATGTTTACATTTGAAAACGCATGAAATTGACAAAAACATTGTTGGTCCCTCCACCTTAGGAATGAGTACAACTGGAAAGTGAACCATGTTTGCGCAAAAGTAGTTGATTGTTTTTTTTTTCACAGAGATATACGTGAGTCTAAACACTTTATTTGGTGTTTTGCAAATATAGGGCTATTTGACGTTGATGAATCTATATTAAAACTTCGACGCACTGGCCGAACCTAATCACAAACACCAGTGACTCTGGTTAATCTTTCGTGGTCGTAGAAGTATTCAACTGCACCTCGACATATATAAGTATTGAAATATGTATACAACTCGCAAGCAACTGCAGTGCTCTGCAATTGTGTTCAGCCTCATCTAGTTACTCACGTTAAGTGCTTATAAACTCAAATGGTGGCTCACACGACGTAATTCCAGTAGCGGTTTCAAATGATTGCACGTGAACAAAGAACAATGAAATCTGTGTTCGTACCAATGCTCTGCTTCTAGTGAAACTTCAATACCGGACATAGATCGGCACGTGAGTTATCATCTCAATTTCTGCCAGCATAGCTAAAATCCGTTGTTTCAGGAATGGCAATTTCATGTTACGCAGCTGCGAAGATACATCCAGGTGTAATTTTTATGCCCTCGTCTTTATTAGATGCACCATGAGCAATGCATTTCAGTCTGAAGTAAAAAATGAGGACACTTTCACGCAGTCTTGCAAGAAGGCCACTCATGTAATTGCTTTTTTTTTATTTTTTCGTACGACCACAATCAGCTATAATATCAGCATTCAAGCAAGCCCGGTGTTCTTGCCTATGTTCATTGAGTGTTATTAAACTGGCTTCCCATCATTAGTAAATATGGCTTCCCCTCAATACCGGCTGCCATTAGTGAGATAAATAAAGTGGTTCACATTTGAACTTTATAAGGTTAAGGTTGAGATTATTACAGCCCATATTTTTGGCTCTCTTATGTAATGGACATGGAAGCTACTTAGCTCATATATTCAATATTGTCATTTCGAAAGCAAAGAAGGCTCCAAAAGCGATTTGGAGCAACGTAGGTCTAGTATATTTAATGAGGATTGCGCTCAAGAAACTTCGAGGGTACCTTAGCCACTGGTAAAATCGTTTTTGCTCGATTCAAAGTTTTAATGAAGGCAAACTTACATGGTTTGATTCTATCCCTTCAACACTGCTCTCATTGCATGGAGAATGATCCGGCAGAATTGTTTTCAGAAGTTGGTTCATCGTTCTTGAATAGCACGTAGCGTAACATTTTGCTGTGCCATTGTCCTAAAAAAGCAAATCGTATTTCAATTGAGACGATTACATCTGAACATTGTACCTCAGCCTTTCAGAAATTAATTTTATTCAGCACAACTCACCCTTTCAAGCAAAGCTTGTATGACCAGGCCTACGTTGCCGTGGGTGGTGTTTAATAGAAATCATTCATATTATTACTCTCAAATTATTTTTTTCCAACTTGCATTATTTATGTGTTTTTATTCATTTATTTATTGTTGTGTCTGAAACAATCTGCTTTGTATTCTATATCAGTTATTTCTGATTGTCCTTTTTTAATAAATTTTTGCCCTTGCTCTCTAAATAGTTTAAAAGAACGTTAGCCAACAAATTAACGGTATTTTGTCAGAGCTACCCGGTTCATGGCCAATCTACAAGCGTAGGTGTGTACCAAGATCTCCAGGCTCTCCCTCCCTCCCTTCGTCCCCATCCTCCCCTCCTTCCTTCCTTCCTTCCCTCTCGCCATTAGCGGGGCACACCGAAGCAATATAAATAAAACTAATTCTTTCTGATACTGAGGTCTGTACCTGGGTTCTCCGCTCCTAAAATGAGTTATTCGAAATATAAGACACGCCAGCATCCAGGTACAATGTTATGAAATATTGGAAACGCTTTCATGCTTGTCCAACGTTATATAACATGAGCATGTGATTTATTGACAATGGAACAAACTTTTAGGAATCTATGCGCTTGCTATAGGCACTAAGTTGTCTTATATTAGTTGACTAAAATCCATCTGCTTGACAACTTCTCATGTCAATATAAAACTTGTACATTTCTGGAAACCTAATACTTCGAGAAAAATGAAATTTTCGTCTTGCCGAACGCTATCGTGACCGCGCCGGGCGTCGACGACGTCGTCAGGCAACACAGCGCCGTCTCTCTAAGAAGGCCACACAAAACCATTTTTTTTCACACTGGTGGTGCGCTTTCTTGGAAAGGGCCACGGCAAACTTCTCTTGGCAAGATAAATGAAGATAAAGTGTATTGTGCCAGGTCAGCTTTCTGCCTTTGAAACGACGCTGCCGTAAATGACAGATAAAAAAAAATAGCCACGTATTTGCGTGTTTCACTGCAAATACTGTGAAAGGACGGATGTCTTTGAACCGCCATTTTTTTTGTATAGCGCCGTATTTTCAGGGCTAGGTTCTTTATAATTACGTCTCTATGTAACTTGCAGTGAAGGGACACACCAAATAATAAGTATCGATGTAGGACATCACTGATGTGCTTTATTTGCTCTTTCATCGACAATAAGTATGAACGAAGCCACCAATTCAGAACTCTGGATGCTCAACAAGCGCCTACACTTTGACCAGTTGGCTTACCTGTGCGATAGAGAGCCAGAAACACAGACCGAAATGCCCGCGTTAAAAAATCTTTAGACTGACTATCGTCTTTAAAACCTCGACGACGCTTTAGCATCGCCTTCCAAAGTAGAACGCGAAAGCGTATTCGGAGGCTGTTTACACCACCTTCTGAACCGTTAGGTTTGCTTCGTTTTTCGGTGGACACCTGAAGAATGCCGCAAAGAAAAAGAACACTGGAAAATTGGCTCTTTGAAACTCTACTTGAATGCCTTCTGCGGGAAGCTTTGCGAAGCGTTCACTACGGTATAATTTTCTTTTTGCGACTGCGGGATAAGCCGACTACGAATGCGCAAAGTAATACACGCACATTCGCAGCTGCGTGTGCTGGTAATGCCATTTTTTGATAATAGTAAATTATTTACATGTGTGTTTTTAGAATATGGGTTCTTAAAACAAGCAGTCGTTATAGAAATAATTGCTCATCGATGAATGGCAATGCTCGGTTAGGCCTACGCTTCTCCTACGCTAGAATAAATGTGTTAATGACACTCCTTGCCCTGCATATAGCATTGAAATGGTGTTTTCTTTTTTCCTAAGCAGTTTAAAGCACAAATGTGTCTTTCGCAGAATATTCGCTTGCCACACAGATGTTCTTGATTCGATAACACATTTATACGATCATACAATTTATGCGCTTCAGCCGGCCATATTTCGACATGAATGACAATAATTGCACACTACCTAACTGGAAAAATACTGAAAGTGTCGCCTTGACGAGTTCGGCATAGGAGCTCACAGATTTGCGTTGCAAATGGCAGACCACGTTTTTCGACAAATGTGGTAAGCGGTCTAAAAGATACAAGGACACTTTTTGATGCGAGAGTCGATCGACCTATTCAGTGAACTAAATCTCAATGCATTGTTTAAACATTAGCGAGTTATCATAGAAACTACCTTTTTTCGCACGCCAGCATTTCTGCTGTTGTTACCAAAGCTAAAGAACAACTGGCAGATCTGAAGTAACTTGAGAATCACCATGCGAATCCCAAGTACGCATATCCCAAGTACGCATACGAGGGGAAGGTTACTGTTTTCTACCTTCTTTTTTAAATGAGTGACACATCAGCATGTAACGCTAAATATATGTATAAATATTGCACACATAGGAATTTGTTGAAAAGTTTCAGATGTGTATTTGACGAATTGTTGTCACTTGCGCAACGTTGCCGAAATGAACACGAGTGTTAGCAAAACCAGAAGTGATGAGCAGATTTGAAGCTTATCGCTGGTGCTCGCGAGGACGGTAGCCCTGTAAACTGCTACATAAATCAACTTCAGCGTGGGGCGGCTAGCTTCAAATGACGTGAACCCGACGTGACAGCTCTATCAGAAGTGTATATATGTAAGATTTATAAAATGATATAGCCAGCACTCCAATCACAACTGAGGTTTCAAAACACTAACGCGCATTTGAATAGCAGTTCCGAGACTGGTCACGGCTCTGTGGAGGAATGCTTGGTGGCCACTCAGAATGCTTGGGTTCGATTACCGCTGGAACCCTGACATTTAGTAGTTGCATTCATCGAGTCAACGCTGCTAAAATAAGCTTTCCTTAACGCTCATGCGTTAAAATGTCCCATGCCTGTTTTCCCTACTCTTGGGTAGATGTGATGTCAATTACCTTCGCTACTGTTTAGCGTAAACTTTTTGACGACGTAGGAGACGGGATTATGACATTATTCATGTCTTCACGAACACGTTCTGTTTAGCCAACCATCTCACCCTCCCATACTAATTTTGGTTAACGTCAAGTTAAGGGGGTCATCTCGAAAGCACCCAGACGTAGGCCGTTAGATAGACAGATAAATAAGTAGATATATGCGTACATTAAAGTGAAAAATGCTTCAAAGCAATGGAAATTGCAAACGTCTTTCGCACTTCGGAAGAGGATGGCTAGGAAGCTGCACGGAGACGAAGTTATACAGACGGTTGGTGCTAAATCTATATCACATTCTGTTTCGACCAGACAACGAATAAATGTGCTCTCTGAATCAATATTAGGTTTCATTTATGATTAGACTAGCAGTTTCGTTCGCGTGAGTTGGGTTAGGAGGACATTTAACTCCTGTCCAATCCCACACACTATCGCTGATGAAGGCGGTGCCTTAGGTGACGATACGAGATTCTTGGATAAGGGCGGCATCTTCGGCTCACCAGACGCCCCGAAGCTTGTCGAATACTGCGTCACTCGTGAGTACCACCTACCAGTGCACCTAAACCAACAAAGCCAATCCGCAAAAACAACTGCGCCCATGGCAAAAAAAAAAAACTATACTTCAGATTACATTTGTTACATCTTTATGATTTCTGAAACCCAAACGGCAGTTTTCCATTGCTTGTAGAAAAAGATGCTGGACTAAAGTTGTTTTCATGGGTGAAAAACAATAGCCCATACTCATTACTCAGAAACTAGATGAGCTACTTGATCTGGTGATTTTGAATTTATTCTAGTAAAAATTGGCAGACGCTATGTACAGTGGGAATCGATGATATTGATTGATATGTGGGGTTTAACGTCCCAAAACCACTATATGATTATGAGAGACGCGGGGAATCGATGATATGCGAAGCACAAAGTTGGAATGTTGATATGTCACTTTAATATTAGCACAACGTAACGAGGTGGAGGTGAATAATGCCGTACATGAGTTTTGTGTCATGATTATCATGTTTAATGTGTCGTTTACCTTCGTCATCTATTCACGTCACATGATACCAAATTTATTATACGTGGAGCTAGCGAAACGGCCGCGAGCACGCTATGAGTGTGGTATGTTGTCATGTTTTTACATGACACGCATGCCAATATTTTCATGTTAAAGTTTGTCGCTTGTGTCCGCCATGCAATAATGTCATACAGTACCAGTTTTGCAACATGTCATGTGAGCGAAACTACCGCAAGAGCTCAAGGACCTTGAAATGTTAATCATGACATTCATCACATACATGTCGTGATTGTCATGTTATGACTACTCAAATATATTCTTCATACAGCCATGTTATGTCATACGAAGTTTCGTGTGGATACCCTATTCGAAACGGCTAGGAGAGCTAAAAGTCTTAGGCGGCGAGATGATAGATAGATATGCTCAAAGTCGCCGAAATTCACTAAGAACTGGTTCACATTTAAAAAAAATGAGAAACGCCCCCTCCCCCCCTTCGTTTGCATACAGGTGTGAAGAATATTGAAAGTGCCTCCAGCAAGTGGGAGGGAGGAAGATGAGTTCGTAACTGCACTTTTTCTCTCCAACGTAGCAGCCACTCTTGCCGCACTACAGTCTCTGCACACGAAGACATCCACTTAGCGAATCCGCACCGCTTGGGCTGGGTGTTGTGACTAGCTCAGCGAGTCACAACACCCAGCCCTTGAAACGCCGGCGAACGCATCCAGCTGATGACGCAACAAATAACGCAATTTACGTGCAACTGATTTCTCATTTATTTGTGGGGTTTAAAGCACTAGGACATATAGAATTTTCGCCTCCATCAAAAATGCAAACAGGCGCAGCGGGGATTCGATCCCACGAACTGTGGGTCAGCAGCCGAATACCTTAGCCACTAGACCACCACAGCAGGTCAACTGATTTGTCAACCAATTCATAGTTACTAACCTATCCCACCTGCCATAGTTGTCATATTGCCCATATCAGAGACACAGAAGAAAAGGGAATTTCAGATCAAGGGCCGTCTGGGCTCTTCGCCCACTCTTCTCACTGATTGCATAGCTGACTGCTTTGTCTTGAAGAAAGAAGTAAAGCTACTCTCAATTATTTTCGCAATATAACACTTATTTATAACAGTTTAGGTAAATGGAATGGGCAACATTCATTGAGGCCCATACTCTACGAAAAATGGGCCTTTCTAGGGTAAACTGTTCACATAGTTGGTGTGATAGCTGCTCCTAATAACGATTCAGAGTTGAGCCTGTAATGTGCAGCTATTAAACGCGTTATTTTTGGCCTACTGTCATGTGCAGAAACGCGTGTGAAAGCGTTTCTCCTGGGAGAAGTGGTGGTGCCAGAGCGAGCGCGACGTGAACTAGGGCCATCACGCCACTTCGACGGCACGCAACGGACTGCACCTTGTTTTTTATACAGCAGCTGTGGCAGTTAAAAGTCTGAGTTTTGCCTTATATTGGGCTGTGTGAGGTGGGGGGGGGGGGGGGGAGTTTGGTCACCCATTTGTTGGAAACGAATAAAAATAGCCTCTTTGATCACGCTGAGTGGTGACAGCTAGTCCGCTAGAAGGCCCTGGTCATTCCCGGTTAGGTTAGCGGCATTCTGTTTGGATGAACTACTCTGGCTATCCAGAGGCTGACGCACTGGTCGGCAAGAACGTAGTTAGCGCCTGTAGAGACTTGCATCTTTCCACCAACTGCCTATCTCAATTTATTATTAGCGCGAATACAATACAACATTATCGAAGATAACTAATTAACGCTTACACAAGCCTGTGGTCCCTTCCAGTATCTTTTAAGATATGCAAGAGCCATGGATTGGCAACAAAAGTTGTGCTTAAGACGTAAGAAGCATGCGTGGGCAGTCCTGGAAAATTTAATAGATGAAGAGTAGCTTTACTTCTCACTGTAAATGAACCAGTTTTTTTCATGGGATGCCCCTGCATTTATCTTTTTTTCTGTCGCGATCACGACCCTTTCGTCAGCAAGTTACCGTGGTGCAGAACGAGACACAACAACCATACTACCGCTAAATCAACTCTTGCTTCCTAAACTCAGGGGCGTTTTCTCAGATCGCTATTTCTCCTCTACACCTGTGGTGGTCGCTCACTGGCTCAGCTACTGTTGACTTTTTTTTTTCCAAATTTTGCAGAATATTTCTCATTACTGCAGTGCCAAGCCGACAACCGAGAGTCAACTCCTTGTTCTGCTGCTTCTTCATGTAAAAAAAACAAAAGCTCTTCATAATTTTATTGCGACAGTGATAAAGAGGTTGATTTGCATAAATTTTGTCCTCAGTGACGGTGTTGGTGTCGGTGTCGTTAGTTGTGAGTGAAAAATTATCAACATGTGCGTGACCGAAAATCGAGAAAGGTTCTAGAAAAAATATATAACAAAATGTGCTCGTTTGAGTGGGGATCCAAGCAGGGTCGTTTGCGTGGCCAGCGGGTGATCTACCACACAGCAACGCGTCTGCTTTTAAATACAGTGAAAATAACTTGCTCTGCTTGGAAATGCAATCAAAGTGACTCATGCATTACAAACTCACGCGTCCTGTATACATGCTTCACAATACAGCATGAAATTTTGCAGTAATATAAAATATAAAAGATATGGCTCCATAGGCACTGCGGTGCTTGGTGGGCGCAATGTGAGTACGGAATCAGTGCTTGTATGGGCTCTATATTATGTGGGCTATTGTAATATGGGTCGTTTGGGCTTTGTGAGCGCTTACTGCCACAAAGTTTGCTTGATCTTATTGTTTTTTTATATATTTCAATTTCACAAGTTCACAATATATTACTTCTAGTACTTGTTATTTACCTTATTTTTTCCGAGCGTGTGTTGTTTTACTTATTTATCCGCCACTCCTGTCAAAGACCTTTATGATGGGCCGGCAGTATGTAACAAAATAAATAAATAACAATGCGTGGTAGAAACGTATGATCCCATCGGGTGCCAGCAGATGTGATTGTTATAATGAGTTCATGGTTCGGGCTACTAGACCACCTCTACAAAAGGCAAACACATTACAGCGTCTATTCTTCTAAGGTCACGTAGTGGATGCACAGCAACTTCGAAAAGATTTCATGCACTAAGTGAAGTACGTAATACGCACTAGAAACAAGATATCGCAATCGCATCCAACCCTTGAAGGGGAAAATGAAGGGTCCCCTAAATTTTGTTGCATAGTTCACTTTTATCAGTCTTTTTCTACCTTATGCTTTAACAGACAGACTTTGGTGTTACAACGTGAATGAAAAACTTACTGCTGCGAAACGAATGTCCTGGATATCTGGAAACGACCGCTGGCAGAATTTGTCTCTAGTTATAACGTCACCGGGTAGTTCATGTGTCTCAGATGTTTTCTTTATGTTCCTTATTCCTGTTTTTGTTATGAGACAGATTCTTCTTGTAGTCCTACATAGAAAAACCACATTTCAAAGCCCTATTCAATATTAATGGTTCCCAAAACTACGCCAATACAAGATCGGTATCTTTGCAACAAGTGCCACTTGCGGTAAGACCACCAGCTGCGACAAAAGGAAAGCTATCTTTCTTCGAAAAACGAGAGGTTTGCGTTAATGTAATACTTTTGTGCCTTATCGCCTGTTGGTACTAGTCCATGATCACAGGTTTCAATCACAAATGCACATTTACTCGAAAGCTTTTTGTTGGGCTGTACAGTTACTATTAATTGTTTAGCAGTTTAAGGAAGAAAGTAGCATAATATATTCTCTTCCATTAGCTCCAACTTTTCCTATATGTGCCTATTTTTTAAGTGGGATAATCAGTGTGAACAGTGAAAGTGCCTCCGACTGATTGGACAACGTCTCGATAAGAAGACCTATCTTTTTCAAAGGCACCGTGTCATACTTGGCGTGTTAGTTTTAACAGGACAGGACGTCACCAGAAACACCTTTAAATGATGACACGACGCCTTTGAAAGATAGGTCCTCTTATGAAAACGTCGGACAGCCAGTCTGAGGCACTTCCACCGTTAGCCCTGATTGTCCCACTACGTTGTTTTTATCTGTTGGTTCCAATCTAGATTATTGTTTTTTTAAAACACTTGGACAGTCGTTTGGCTGTGCGTCAGGGCCCTACAATGTGCAATCCTGTTCGGAAATGTGAAATGACACTTAATATTGACATGCTCACTACGGACGCAATTAGATGAGTGTCGTAGCAAACTGCAACATCAACCAAATGACACACATTGGTGTGTCAATCGAGTATACATGATCATTATTACGACTAAAGCATCTCATGTATGCTGTAGTATTGGGTGACTACTGTCAAAGTGGTGAAGTATTCTCTGGAAGTCTGAAAACATTTGTGTTGTGTCAAGGAAGTGGAAAAGGAGAAATAAAAGAATGTCTATTTTGACGGTAATCAAAAAACTATCTGAAGTGATTTCGACAGCTTTTCCATCTGATAAAAATAGGAAGTGTGAAAAAAATCACACATGCTTCGGAATTACGTGCATGGTGTAGGCTCTTCATAGACTTATGACAGTTTTCCATGTGTTTGTCATCTGTATTGCAATTAGTTGGTGTTTTCACTATATTCAATTGGTCATCACGACAGAAACAGTTGTAGAAAGGACAATAAATTTGAATACCAGAAATTTACATGCCACGCTTATATGTGAGCGGTGAAGTGTTGTGCTAGTTTCTGAATAACGCGATGTTAACGTCGGCCTAAAGTGATTGCTAGTGCCTAATCAAAATGCTCTTTTATGATAAAAAGTATCTTCGTAGCTGTTTTAAAACAACCACGTCTAAAGTTAAGTACGCACTTAAAGTGGCTGGAATTAAGACAACGTAATCACAGGATTGGCATCTCGGAAAATTGCCGACAATAATCAGCCTATTGTGTGAACACTTCCTTGCGTATGCTAAGTCAACCACAACTGATTGTCAGGTATACGAAACCTTTTAGTCTTACTGTATGATAAAGACAGCTCGGCTAAGTGAAAGCACACAACAAAGGGACAAAGGAGACGGATTGCTTTGGTTAAGCTCTTTTAGCACATCATCTTTGTCATCCCGGTTTTCTTTGTTTTCAACTTAGCAGCACTGCCTTTATATGTCAGTATGTTCGAACTAGCCCCTACAGAAGCCCACCTTTCGGATATGCGTTTGTTTTTGAAAGAAATTGAAATGCTACTATTTATGATGCTAATGTCGAAGCACTTACGTAACAAACGATGTAATCGCTTGGTTACAGCACTTGGAAAATTTCATGCTGTTACTGCTATTGCGAAGGTAGGTCATCATGTAGCCCTCATACCAAGGACAGTGCCTCGATGAGAATCCAGGGTACCGTTCACCATCATGGGGGCATCCAAGTCTAGGTTTTGGCAAATGTAGGAAGAAAAGAGAAAACAAAAAGATGTATTTCAAAGTGCTATCACGAATTTCGTAGTGATATGTGAGCTCCATTGATCTACATGACCATATTTCTGTAGAATTGAGAGAAACTATCTAGTAATCATTGGTGAATATATGTATGCGAGGTGAACGGTGACAGGTATAGTGATGACATGAAAAGTGAAAGAGCTAACTAATGAATGTCTGAGTTTCAGAAAGACTGCAGACAACGTATCTAAAAAAACTGATAGTTAATTTACACTCTTTTGGGCTTCTTCCTCGATTAGATTCAACACTGGCCTGAGGAGAAAAGGTATTTCAGATTCGGAATCGGTGCCCTTCAATGGCTCGAAGGCTCTGTGGAAGTGCGCAAAACGAGCCGATGTCCGCTAAAGAGGCGCTTTATTGCAGCACTCACACGTCTGCCCGGGTTGAAGCCGAATTCCTATTTTCCATTCAACATCCAATCATCATCCCTTCGACCGTCGGTCAAACAAAGAATCTCAAAACAAGCTAATCACACATGGGGATTCAGATCACCACAACGAGTACCAGGAACACTTTCTTGACAGACAAGTACGGTATTTACAAAAAGCACGTCATAATATACAACACGCGAGGGGATAGACTCTCAGCGCAACACGTGTCAACACATTATCCACTACGTTACGGCCCGCGTAGTGTCCTTGACGTCCGCCGGCGCCTGTGCCAGGCTTGATCTGCAACAGCACGCGCACTAAACGTCTCTTTGAAGAGGTCGTCAACACAGCGGCGAGAACGTTGTCAGGACCTGGCCACTGACAATATGTGCGTGCCACAGTGAGACGCTCTGCCACCCCAAGGACCCTTGGTAATGACGTATAGGCTGGTGCAGGATTGTCATCGCACAAGAACAGCCGGTCACAACACATATCATTTTCAAGGCGCTGAAAGTGCACATTCGGTATTTATCACGGTTTCAGTCACATCATTTAGCGTGTTTGACAGCGCAGAGACCCCATTCTTCGTTCTGCGGTGTTGTGATTAAACATCCGGACATATTACTGCCTGGCTTCGAACTTGCGATGCGTCCAGCATCTGCGTTATGGAGTCTCCGTCAACCTGACGTGCGCTTGTCGGTTCATGAAATTGTTAAGAAGGCGCGCATGTCACCACTAGCCCTGAAGCAATTGACTTTGCGTCTGTTGGAGGAAACATACTTTGACCGCATACATGTTTACACCGATGGCTCGACTAATACCAACAGCTCTGCAAAAGCAGTGGTTGTTCCATCTGGCCATGTGTTGCTTCAATACAAGTTCTCTAACACCACGACATCGACAGCAGCAGAGCTCGTAGCGCTTGAAGGTGCAGTCAAGTACATTATTCGGCAGCAACCTAATCAATAGGCCATTTTTGTGACTCGGTGTCAGCTTTACTAACAGTACGGTTCGTTAAGCAGCACGGATTACACGGACAATCAATATATCAGATAAGGCACGACTACCAGGAAGTGCAAGAAGAAGGTCACGATATTCTATTTCAGTAGTTGCCGAGTCATTGCGGAATTGTCGGCAATGACCACGTGGATGAAGTTGCTCGATCAGCTCATGACCAAGACCTGCGTACGCCAATACCACTCTTGAGAACGGACGCTGCAAGGCAACTACAATCACTTGCTCGCCGTGTAACTCTCCTATGATGGAATACGCCAGGTTTCTTCAACGCGCGCCTGTATTCCATCAACCCAAACTTGCAACTTCATTTGCCATCATGGCTCCCACGACGCGCCGAAACTTTGCTGTGTCGCATGAGGTTGGGCGTGACATTTACGAATGCGTATTCTGGTCTCCTTAGAATTATGATCAGTTCAGCAGGCGACATCTGCGCCTGCAAGGAGACGCTTGAGCACATTCTATGCCACTGCCCAGCATACAAGTCTGAACGACTTTTAATGGAAGCCAAGCTCTGTCAGCTAGATTCACGACCACTTACAGAAAAGAGACACTGGGACCTTGGCCAATCGCGGGACCTTGGCCAAGAGGGCCAAGCCCTCTTGTACTTTTTAAGGGCCACCAGACTTCATGAGCGCCTGTGAAAGCACAGCGTGAGACCATGCCATGTAGTCGCGAGCTGACTGTCCATCCACCTCTTTCTTACACGTCTTATTTTCTACCTCTATTATTTCTGATATTTCCCCTTTCCCCCACTCCAAGGGTAGGGTAGCCAAGCTATCCAAGCTTGATTAACCTCCCTGCCTTTCGTCTCTATTTCTCTCTCTCCTTTTCTCCCTATTGTCACCAGAAGGTGATATCACAACCCATACATAATTCTCTGTCGGCCAAGCGGTATAAAAGCTTTTTGTATACTTACGGCATTCTCAAAAGATCTGCGTCAGTGCCCAAATGTCAACTTGAAACCAGACGGCTGCGCGTCGCCTCGTTCCTGCGCGACCCGCCTTCCGGTCGGCTTCTGCCCCCTTTTGGGCCAACTAAGGAACGGCTTTTACGGCTCCGCTTGTCAATGACATTAACGACCAAGTCATCTTTCTTTCTCTGCGTAGGTGTTACGCGTCCCCTTTCGAGAAACCGGCCAGCATCATTATTTGGCGATAAACAGTCCTAATGGCAGCATGGAAACTCGTTCTGCGCTTTCAGGCACCCGCATACACTTCGCCACTCAACAACATGGAGACCTGAATACCTTATACTAACTTTGAGGAAGTAAATAAGCGACACATAGGGCAAGCTTTGGTTCGCATGATGCGACATCCAAGTTGTGTAAAACTTAGGGAAGAAACACAAATTTTACGGAAGGTGGCGAAAAAGCATTCTGCCTTAATGAAAGCAGCTCAGCCTGGGAGTTGACTTAGGCGCTGCTCGCGCCAAAAAAACGGAGCCCCAGCAGTACAAATACATCTGAAGAACAGGAGACTATAGCACCGCTTAGCAGCGTGCCTTGCGAATACAGAGAGCCTATGATTATCTTGAAGGAGCAAAATACTACTTGCGGCATTCTTGGTGGGGGTGGAACAGTCCCCGTGATTGCACTGCAAGAGGCTACCGATGTTACCTGGCCTTCCTTGCTAAAGATAGATTATCGCCAGAATCATATGGCTGAAGTCTGTGGTACGTTCGGCTAGTCAAGGTCCAGAGCATGCTTCAACAACAAATGAGCACATTTTGAGATTTGCTTTTTAGCTTACGCATGACATCAGGGAAAGCAGCTTTACCAATATTTCATCATGGCACTCTCGAGGTATTGTGCATTTGAAGAGTTGATGCGTCGATTTGTTTTATGCAGTAGAACACGTGTAACCTACATGATTGCCTTCCACAATTTTGTTAGCACCTGTTGAAATATTAGTTTTCGCTTGTGACCTGGAACCCAAATATCACATTATATTTTCGCCCACGGTACTTGACACTTCAGGGACGCCAAGATGAATCCAGAACATGTTTTTTTGTGCATACGTCGCGGTAAGGTGTACGCGCGACGTATTTTCGGAGAACATACCTCAAACGAAGACATCTGCGTCAGCTTGAAACATAAGCAGTGCGTATTTTCATTTATGGAGGCTACATATGAGATTTCACAGCAGCTGCCTGAGTTATGTCATTGAAATCTGCCCGAGACCCCATATAATCAGAGAGAATCAAACGCTGTGGGGAACCTTTAGGGCGATAATTTCGTATATATTTTTCATCAATTCTGTGACGGAAGTACGTCATCGGATTCATGGTGAACTTCAGCATAAAACACTTTCACGTTAAAACTTTGAACAAAAGAACGTCATGAAATGCGGGCTGGCTTTATTCCCGCATTTTAAGTACTCACGGGGAACAAAGATTTCAACATGAATTTTCTATCGTCGTTCCGCGTGAGGAATTTTATACAGGAACTAAGTGTTGCGTAGATGGTGGCGGAGAGCGCTAAGCATTTGCAACAGCTCTCAATTCTACCATGTTCCTCGTGTGAGTGACAATAGTTTATTCTTGTATATTTTTTTCCTTAGTGCATGCAGGCCCGAGAAGTGGCACACCAGAACTTGCCTAGTTTTGAAATAAGTATTTGTGTTGCAGGACCGTCGCTTCCATAGCAAGCATGCCACGAAATTTCGACACTTTTAGAACTATGTACTAAAGCTGCTTTCTAGATACAATTACTCCACCATCAACTAAGGGCTGCAATTAAAACGTGAGAAAAATAAAATTATTTGGTGATTTCATAAGCAATAATGGGCTAGGTAATGTCAAAATCAGCGCCGGATATGACAAGGGCCCAAAGCGATGCAAGCTCGATGCCAAGAAGTATGTGACCTTGTCATGTATGTGAGTGTCGATGGGTTACGTCTAACATCTTTCAGCTTAGAATCACCAAAGAAACATGCTGGCATCTCCTATATAAAGTATATCAATAACATAGAAGCAATCTAGAAACGACTACATTACGTGACTAAGGATTTAAAGTGAGCGGGAAGCAGCCATATTAGTCTTCAGAGTTGTCAAGTTTAACTATTGTAAAGCCTGTGCAGATTTTCACAGCTTTTGCATTTCTGAAGCGGAAACCACAACTTCCGCTTGACCATCAAGATGGCGTAAGAATTCAGCCACGCGAAAACTTCAGTTCACGCTCTGCTGCGTAAGTAGGTTTGCCCGTCATCAGGCAGTGCATTTAACATTAAAAAAAACGTGCTTTGAACAAACCAGAGCCTCTTAGGATTGTGAAAATACTTACAGATGTCCCAATTCATGAGCCATTACCCTAACTCCACCATACGTGTCTGCTTTGTCTTCGCCAATGCCCACTTTTTGGGTCGAACAAGCGCCTCCAATATATGCAATGCCTGTAATAATTTAGGATTTGTTGTGATTCGATAAGTTAACTGACAAAAACGCATTCTACAGCTTTGTAGTCGAAGTTTGACGAATGTTGCTTTGGACAGTATCATGATGAAGATGTGGTCACTGACCAAGTCGAGTTGAAAGAACAGAAAGATGTTTAGGAATTCATACGGGTTCTCAATTGTTGACACGAAGCAGGCAAGGGCCGTATGTTGCTTTTTATGCTAAAATGTGACGTAATCTGAAGCTTCTCTGTGTTTTTCATCTTTTTTTGGTCAGTAACAACATTCACATATATTGTATAGCAATATTAAAAAAACGAAGCTATAAATGAAGGCAGCACTTGCATGTATTCTCTTAATTTGTTTGTGTGGAATTGTCTTTATCAGTTGAGTGATTACTATTCGAGGTTACTTATGCAAGAAAAACACTGACTCTTTTTCTTTGCTGAAATCCACCAATGCTGGTTGCCGGTAAACTATGACTGCCAGAAGAATGGCACAAGCAAGTTCATATTTGGCCTTTTCCACGCAATATGTACCCCGGCCGCCACAAAAACAGACAAGCTGTGAGAGCCAAAGTATAAAACAAACATTCGAATATAATGTAGACGCCTTTCTCGTGAATGCTACCGGACCCTTACTCAACCACGCCATGGCAGCCGAGGTAAACAGCGGACAGGTCATGCACTGCACCTCAGCTACCGGAATAGACATCATATCTATCAAAAAGACCGCTATAGTCTTAGCCATGCATAACACAAAAGCCATCTTTGGGGCTTTTGTGTTAAAAAAGCTCACAGATTCTTTTTTGTGTTGCTTATTTTTGTGTTGTGTAAAAAAGTTCATAGATTCCCAGGAGGCGTATTGCGATTTTGCGAGAGGTCAAGCGGGCCGCTTAGCACGTTCATTTCTGCAAAAGGCTGTGGCCACTTGTCAAGAGGGCCAGTGGACACAAACGCTATGGGTACTAGGGCACACAGGAGTTAAAGCATATGAACTCGCTCGCACCTCTGTGCGCGATCTCTTACACTGGGCCTCTGCTGCTTCATCAACAATGTAACTTCTCGCTGATCAGGGCGATCCTATACTGACACTTTGAAAGTCGTCTGGCTTAGCAGATGCACTCTAACCCACCTGGTACTACATTACATAAAGCATAGCACGCCGCATGGGGACAATTACAATCATCATCATTTCCAAATTTTTATGCATTGTGTACGATGGACACTTCGATGTACAATGCTCAGTGTAGATTCTGTGCCCAGACAGCCACTTTATTTCACATATTCTGGAAGTGTTCAAATAATCTTAGTATATCAGCCAATCGTAATCCTACACTAGTCGAGTTGAAGGCGACCTTGTGGAGATCTCACTCAGTGCAGAAACAGGCCCTGGTCGACCGAAGCCGGACAGTGGCAAGGGCCAATGGTGTTCCGCACTAATGCTGTTATCAAATAATGTTTTGTTCTCCCTTGCTCTGAATTTTCCACTCTCAACAAACTTAGCCCTATTACTTCGAATAGCGGTGTCGAAACACCTGAAAATGACCGGGTCACATCCTTAAGCAAGGCATTTATCAATACAGCGTCACAGCACATCCTACGTATAACGCCGGTTTGACTAAGCTAGAACACCCATTGACAATATTCTAGCAGAATAATAAGTGCGTGAACTGAGAAGAGACATCACAAAGAACAGCACAGAACGTTACTAAAACTGGCCTTCCAAACAGGATCGCCCAGGCGTGCACATGAACACACCAAAAAAAAAAATATGCAGCATACAATGATATCGAGGCCTAACTTGCCCAGCTAATGCATTTTGATCTCATAATAAAACCTTAGACAACTTTCTGAGCGCACATTTTTTTGCCATGTCTCAGTATTTTCATCTGCTTAAAACGTACCCATAGGATTCACAGGTCAGGCCTGTGGCTAAGCCGACGGCTAACATCGATGATTTATTAATACTAATTGTTCAGATGTAACGTCTTGAACTACGATATAAGTATGAAAGATGCCTTAGCGGGGGTCCTCGAAAATTACGTCTATCTGAGGCTTTTTGACTGGCATATAAATTTGTGGACTCGGGCCTCGAACATTTTAGCCTCCATCGACATTGCAGCCGCCGCGACCGGGATAACGTACAACAACTTGGTTTAACGGTGTGGTAGCTGAGGTAGCTAACAGACACCACACATAACAAGATAGAATCAACAAGCACATCATAAACACGTGTAATCGTTATCCACCCATTCAATTCGGTGTTATTTTGGGAGAGAAACGACAAGCTCGGGGATCATAATTATAGGCAACCTATATACAGTTCACATAAGATTCTTTAGTTGAGAGCTCCAGCTAATGTAGACCACCTGAAGTGCTATAAGCCTGCTGCCATGTATATACAGCACAGTGATTCGGAATGTGAGAAGCCGAAGTTGGTTGATTTGGCCGTGAACATGGGAAGACGTTTCTCTTCGTACCAGTGTGTCTTGCTGGGCACCTAGGCAATGACTGTGTGACATTAACCCGTCGACATCCTTGCCTTTTTGTGCCATCTATCACCACCATTTTAGTACTCAGTGCTATAACCACAGGTCGGACAAGTCACTCATCAGTGAACTCTCTCGGACCCAGATAAAGCCGTGAGCCTGAGTCTCAGTTTGGGTGAGTCTAAGTTTGGGTGAGTTTTAGCCCGAGTGAGCCAGGTTGCAGAAAATTTTGCGAGTGTGAGTCTGAGTGAATTCGGCTCTGGAAAATGTTGTTGAGTCTGAGTCCCAGTCAGTCGAAAGCGCAAGTTATATTTCTTAAGTGAGTCTGAGTCGCATCTTTTTTTGTTGACCTATGGCTATCGCACTAAAAAAAGCCAAAGGTGGAGAAACAATGTGCACGTGAAAGCTTCAATACTACGTACGATGCATTACACTGACCATAATGTTTTCTCAAAAAAAAACGGTGAATTGTATTTTAGAGGCGCTGCGTTAGAGAGTCTTGATTGGTGCAGCGAAGAGGAATGATCGCATCGAGACACGTTAGACCCGGGCGCTACCTGGCAGTTATCTTCGAAAACGAAAGATGGCATGCGCGCCTGTTTCGAAGGCGATATGATGTAAAAAAGCAAAGCGACGGGCAGGTGCCATCAACGTGTCATCTTAGCAAAGCGTGGAAAACCTTCGCCTTTTTGAGCGTATCGTTGCATTGCCAGCGCAGCATGATAAACACTGCAGTCCTTAGAAATTTTTACTTATGTATGCTTTCTCTAGTATAAAGCCACACATACAGAATATTGACGTGTTGTTATGGTGCTTCAGATATGCACAATAATTGTTTTATTGACAATCGCACAAGTATAAACGTTGAAACTTGAGCAACATTTATGCGCGCTGCGGATGGGTTTGGCCGTTTTGGTAATAGTTTGGGGCCGTTTTGGGTATCGTTACGGCAAACAAACGAACAAATGTACTGACAGACAGTCAAAAATTTTCACGAAGTACTCCAAGAAAAGATATCGTCTTTAAAAAACGGTTTTCTGTGTACGAATACAATCCTTAAGTGAAGCTCTTTAGAAATGGGATGCAAATGACTATGTGCCTGATCTCGCTGCTGGCTTTCATGAAGGCGGCAGGGTGGGTAGTGACTGGGGAGAGTGTTTGTTGCGCTCGGTGACGGGAACGACTAAGCAAGTGAGTGCGCAGTGCGCTCAGCGCTGCGCCAGCCATCCGTCACTCAGCTGAGCTCCCGCTGTGCCACAGTAGCAGCACACCTGTTACTTTGCTCGGCGCACTTGCCGGTTCGGGGAGCTTGAACTGCCATGGTGGTAACGGAAGCGCTGAAGAGAGGGCCTATGGAGCGTCACTCTGAATAGAGAGTAATAGCTGAGCGGCTCAGCGGGCCAGCGAGTCCAGCGGAGCAGCGGAGATGCCAGCTGCACATGCGCGGCACGCCAGCGTCTTTGCGGAGCGAGTCGCTCACCCGCTCATTTTGTCTCCTCAGCGAAGCGGGCGCAGCGGACGAGCGTGCGAGCGTGTTCAAAATGGCAGCCCCCAACACAAGCGGCGGCGGCATGTCTTCGGCGGCACCTCCACGCACTGCGGAGACTCAGCTGCTGACGCAACAATAAATGCCTTTCGTAATATTTCTTTCGCAGTAACTTCATTTCATTCGGCAGGTGACGCAGCTAAGACTCTGCTCGATCGAGAGTAACTTCAACGTTGTTCAACAGATGGCGCAGCAATGCGATCCGCTGGAACGAAAGAGGTGACGCTCAGCTACTACTCTTGTGTTCGTCTTGCGCTCCGCTGCCCTTTCCCCTCGGCTGCTGGACCCGCTGGCCCGCTGAGCTGCTTAGCTAATACTCGCTAATGATGCCTTGAAACTACCCTTTCAGCTCCGTTTGGTGTCATAAAAATACAACACTTCAACCGTCGAAAAACGTGATGCTGCTCCACCTACTAAGATGGCTGTTAGAGCAGCACGTGAAAAAAAAAAAAAAACACGTTGGTGAAGTCTCGTGCATGTGTTTCGCTGGAATTCGGGTTCTAGGCTCATAAACACATCGGCGTGGACCGAGATATTGCCGGTTCTAATTGCAGGTCATCGAAATAAACAAAAACCTTTCTTCCGTTATTCCTTACCTCGGTTCGTGTACACTTCTGCGACCACATGACGTTATGTAAAATTGGTGAACCCCAGCACAAACGAATTATGCGTTCAAATAAAGTGATCTCGAGTTCTTGTGGTAAGACAGCACGTATCTTGTTAAGGCAAGGAATATTCAAAATCCTGTTTTTTTGCCACTTGCCTAGTGTTCCCGAGTCCCAGGTGCCTTTCAGCCCTTCAGCGCCCAAGTCGAAACTGTGGATGTAAAGGTAAAACAACAGTAGATATTACAATAGCATTGTTTGGGAATGAGGCCTTGAAAGCGCGCCGATACTCACCCTGTTATTACGTACACTGCGTCGTAAGAACTGTATTTCGTATAATTGTACCTGATCTGCGTTTCCATTTTCAGTAGAGTTTGATATGCTATAATTTTACTCCATTTAAAACGTACGTACAAACGATCTTCAGCAATGTGCTGGCAAAAAAAGAAACACGTTTTCAGGACACAAAAATTACATTCATTTATCTGTTACTGTAATATTTCTCTTGATAGCTTACGTTCATGACTTCGAGAGCACAAAAAGTTATCTTTACTTCCGGCTCTGACACTGTGAGATATTTTATGTTCACCTGTGAAAAATCAAGGTAAAAAAATCAAAGTGAAATTTAAAAACTTTTGCTGTAAGCGTTCTTTTTCGGTGAAATGTATACAAGGCGGAAACACCAACATAGCACTAAACTGTTGCACTCTCTCAAAGTTATTTAACTATACGTGACAAAATCTATATACCTTTTTCAAGGCGAAATTGCAATAAAATAAAGAATTTGACTTACAGAATTAACAGTAACAAATAGATAATGCAGCATCTTCTCTTTTGTTGGAAATTGCTTTCGAAAAGCACTGTCTGTAACAATCAAGAGCTCTACGTCTATCTTTCTCGGTGGCCCTGGAATATGGTGATGACAAACAATCTTGAACATAATGAAAATAGGCAGCAATACGACAGTCTATCAAACTGCTCTATCAACTTACATTGATTTGAGTTCTGCCTTGGTGAAACGAAGGAACTTGCTGGCCTATGTACTGCTATAAAAGTGTATGCAAAAGTGATACAATATTAGAGAAGTAAGTAAAGTTATAGTAAAGAGCGCAACCTTATGTTTTAGAGATTTTTCATTTTCAGCATAAACAGAACACATATGTACGAGGAACTACTATGTCGCGTTGCACATAATTATTAACGTACATAAGAAGATGGACGTCTATAAATCCATGAATCTTTCTTAGAATGAACACATTGCGAATAATATAAGCATAAGTGATAGCAAAGTTCATTTGTATTTATTGTGTACATTGTAAATCTGAGGAGATATCGTTGTAGCGCTGTGCGGTTTTTTCGTCCGATGTTTCAGCTACCAGACGGAAATGATAATAGCATTTTCAGATACTACATTTGGAATTACAAGATCACTAGCCATATAAAGAAACCTGATCTAGCATATTCTCCTATGGAAATTCTCGCTGCAGAAATAACTGGCATAACTTATATTTATTTCATTATTAATACAACGATTTAAAGAGCAAAAATGTTCAAGGATATGTTGTTCAAGGTTGGCGCAAGAGTGGCCATGCACGCGACTCAAGGCAAAAAATAATGTGCCGAAAATACATGAACCAAGACATAAAAGAAAAGACTGGTAGATCCCACGCATTGTAGATATCGACGTAATGTGATGCGGCCAGGAAGGGCATGATCATGCTCTACAATAAATGCACGTCACGACTCGCATATGAGGGCAAAATCATTTATGGTCCGCATACAGTGAAGTCTCGCAACACCAATGTTCATGTTTATGGCGCTAGTGAGCTCAACGAGAGCGCACCATATATAATCACAGAATTCAAGACAGGCTGTGCGTGACATGAATGTCATGATTTTCGTAGTACCACTTGTTACTTATCTTCGTCATACAGTCACGTCACGCAAAACAAATTTTGGTTTGTTTAAAGTTAGCGAATTGGCTGTGAACGCATCATGAGTCGACATATAAGACATGTTGTATGTGACATCAATGTCATGATTGTCATCTTACCATTTGTCAGTTCTGTTTGTGAGACAATCAGGGCCCGCTAAACAAGTTTTTGGTGTGTATCAAGCTAGCGAAGTAGACACGAGTGTGCCACGAGCGTGGCATGCAGGCCATCTCATGAAGTCATAAAATATATAACGTGAATCTCATGATATTCAATATTGCCACCTATCATTCAAATTAGTCACAGAAGAAGTTTCCGTCATGCCTATTCAAGTATATATTGATCGAACCAAAGGGCTGGTGAGCACCAAGATCATGTCATGTATATAATGCAGATCATGACAAAAAGTGATGTTTTTTATGATATGACCTAATATCAACTATCACTTGCGGCACCAGATATACAATGGAGAAAAACGCCCCTTGTCAGGCCACCTCGCTGCGCGATGTATGCAATACGGTTGCAAATCACTCTACCAAAATCCACATCCAGTAGCCGAAAATTTGGACCGACTTACGTCACCAATTACTGAAGTAGCTAGAGGCGCGGTAAGCTGCCCTTCAGTCAATCTATCTATCGCGAACTTAAATGCTAATTGTGTCAAGTCAGCCACTTGTGGCATATGCTGGATAGATTGCCTTGTGTGCTCCTTCGCCCCTAACTTTGGCCCCTTTGTATTAAATGCGAAGCATTTCTTAGCGAACTTCAGCGACTTTCAGCGTATCTATCTACCTAGCTGCCTACGACTTTTAGCTCTCCTAACTGTTTCGATAATACTATCAATACCAAACTTAGTATGACATAACGTGACTGTATGAAGAACATATTTGACTAGTCATAACATGAAAATCATATGTATGTCATGAATGTCATGATTTCCACTTCCCGGTCCTGCAGCTCTTGGGTTGGCTTCATTCACATGGCATGTTGAAAAACTGGTAGGGTATGTCTAAATTGCATGGCGAACACAAGCGACCGACCCTACTATGAGAATAATGACATGCGTGCCATGTAACAAGATGATCACACGTCACTCTCATGATGCGCTGGTGGTCGTTTCGCTAGCGTCACATATAACAATATGGTATTACGGGACGTGAATGGATGACGAAGGTATGATACTGGTGCAAACACGATGAAGATCAGATGCCTGTCATGTAACAACATGACTACATGCTACGCTCATGATGTGCTCACGGCTGTTTTGCTAGCTTTACACGTACCAAACTCGGAATTACGCAACGCGAATGGACGGCATAGGCCAATTGCACATCCAAGCATGATAACCACGACATGCGTGTCATGTAACATAACCACATGCCACACTGAAGATGCGCTCGCGGCCGTTTCGCTAGCTTCACATATGCCAAATTTGGTATTACGTGACGCCAATGCATCACGAAGGTATGTGACTGGTGCAAAGATGATAATCATGAGGTGCGTGTCATGTGAGAACATGACTGCATGCCACAGTCAAGGCGCCAACACATTTCAACGTGATGTGGTGCACGTGCCCACCGGCATTCATTTTGTCACGTCACGCCGGCGTTGCCACGCCAGGCACCGGTCCTGTCATATACTCGCAGGCGCGCGCCGCGCGGCGTTGCTTTGACGCATGCGCGTTTCAGCGCGTCCGGTGTCCCTCCATCACGAAAAGAGGGGAACGCAGTGTTGTCTGGGCAGCGCATTGGCGCGAAACGCAGCATGTCATGTCGCGCCGGTGGCCGTCGGGCAGCGCCGACGGACTCTGGTCGCGCCTGGCATCATACTATAGAGTGCTCGCGTTTTGCTAACGTAGTGTCACTGTGCCCAGCGTGCGCGCGCGTCAACGCTACGTTGCAGTGATATTGGGCCCTTCACTATGCGCTCACGACCATTTCGCTAGCTCCACATATACCAAAGTTGATGCTACGTGAGTTCAATGAAGTACGAAACTATATGACTTGTCCAAACATGATAATCCTGATACGCGTGTCATGTAAGAACATGACAACATACCCCGCTCATAGCGTGCTCGTGGCCGTTTCGCTAGCTGCATATATACTAAATTTGGTATCACGTGACGTGAATAGATGACGAAAGTAAATGACGCATCCAAACATGATAATCATGACACAGAGGACATGTACGGAATCATTTACCTCCACCTCGTAACGTTGGGCTGATTTTAAAGTGACATACCAACATTTATCATTCGTGCTTCGCATATCATTGATTCCCACTGTACGTGAGATCTGCCTTTTTTTTTCTTTTTCGTGCAGTGTCATGTGCATATGTATGCGATTACCTGCAATGAATACTAAGTATTTAGTTTTGCGCTTTCTGCTGTCTTACTCTGCTACCGTCTATGTGAACTTTCGCGCTACAGCTCCTAGATATGCACTACCATATAATCCACCAATCTGTATTTTCAATATAGCAAGTACTTGCTTGTCATGAAACAAGTGGACCTCCCTTGAAGGACTCAACCCATTGGAGAGCTTACATTGTGCCACTATTTGTGCATCAATACATATTTGTTAGCCATGTTCGTTATTTTCAAATAAACATATGGGCGAAGATAGCTAGGTTTACTAGGTTATAGTTAAATCAATCAGTGTCTTCTTTAGAAGCGTATCACAACTACTACGAAACAAATTGCAACTGCACCGCGATACAGGAGATAAACATGCTGTACTTAATAAAGAGCACTTACCATCCATTCGGTATTCATCTCTGGCAAGTTCATACAGCTTATGAGGAATGTTGCCGTGCGTCGTTCTATCTTGAGAAGCTAGAGGTTTTATGCCATATTTCTGACCTATGATACCTTCCTATTTGAAAAAATTGAGGGCATTTTCTTGTCATTTCAATATATACGTAATGACACGTATTAAAACTTCATACGATTGTCGTGAATTCAGCGACCATGATTTGTATGCACCGTAATGTAGTTAGCACATATGTACGTAGAACAACATTATGTATACTTCTAGAAGTAGTAACTTTGACGTGTTCGACGACTTCACGACACCGATGAAACAATAATGCAACCGATTATAATATTTGGAGCTTTGCATTAAAAACCACGATCTATTATGCGGTACACCTCATCGGAGGATTACGGGAAGCTTGATCATGCCGTGTGCTTTAAGCTTTACCTGATTTAGGTAAACTGGCTTCAAACATTTTCTCTTCACCAAAATGCGGCTACCAAGGCCCGAATACGATCTTCGCACCAGTGGGTCAGCAGCCAAGCACTATAAATACTGACGCTAATTTATCAGCGGAACAATAAGGGCTCTGTATGCTTCGGACTAAAAAGAGACGAGTTGGTTAAGTTCAAAGCATTCCTGTCATGGAGGTGCCTCCACTTGCATACACGTAGGTAAAGCCAAAATTTGCCGATATACTGCGCAGATTAAATTGAAACTGACTTGCATGTGAACACTACCACAAGGCGTGATGTGATAGTGCCAAGCTACGTCTTTAGATTTATTGTCAAGAAATTTCTTATGAATAAAGATACTTATAAACAACGTGTAGGATATATTTCATTCTGTTCACCAGATGATTGAACGTAATTTGTCTGTGCGAGGTTTCTCGTCGCAAGGAAAATTTCAGCCTCATTATTCCCCGAGCGAAAAATAAATTTATTTTTATAAATAACTATGTGAACTTTGATGAAATAAGTTATCACTAACCCATATACTGTCAACGTAGTCAGACATAGGTAAAATTAACTACTACTATCTCTCTGAATGAAGGAAGGAAATTGTCCAGGGCCAGTTTTTTTGGTTGATGCAGCCTCAATGAGAACTAGCAGATAATAGAGCTAAGACCGTTTGGGCAACGTTATTTTTAGTGTTTTATTCCTATTGTGATACATGTGATATATAAGAGAAGAAAATCAAACGGACAGAACGACCCATTGGTGCTGGGAGGGATTGAACCTGAGACCTTTAGATTCGTCGTTCGATGCTCGCATCAACTCGGCTTCAGCGGCGGTCATTCTTTCAAGCATTAATTCGGTATTCATGTTATTGCATACCCTCCAAAGGAAAATGCTGTCGTTGGCAATAGCCACAGCCAACGACGACACTCATTATCGTTTGGAGGGTATGCATTAAAATAAATACCGAATTAATGCTTGAAGGAATGACCGCCGCTGAAGCCGAGTTGATGCGAGCATCGAACGACGAATCTGAAGGTCTCATGTTACTCCCGCCCAGGGCCAATGAGTTCTTTTGTCCGTTTGACTTTCTCTTTGCCTGATAGAGAGAATATACAAGGCTCGTTTTGTTGTTTTATTAAAACCTTCTATAATATATATATATATATATATATATATATATGTGTGTGTGTGTGTGTATGTGTGTGTGTGTGTTTGTGTGTGTGGCACCTAAGTGAATAGTTCTCATGTCTCAGGTACACTGTATGTTGAAAATGTCAGTTCAATACTCAATATTTGTCGTATAACTTCTTCCTTAAAGGGTCCAACAACAAATTTTTTTCGCCCAAGTTTTTTTCCGGTGTGACAAAAAGCTTACCCTTCGTGGTGTTCGTAGCCGCAGTAGTTATTCTCAAAAGCACAAAGTCATTTTATAAGCAGTATTTTTCTATCTGAAAGGCTGTGAACACGAATCTGCCCTCTCATCCAGCAACGCTGAGAATCGAAAGCGATGCCAGTAGCCTTTCTGGTAATTTGTGCATGCGGTCGTTCTCCTTATTTCGCTGAATTTTGTGTAACTATACTTAACGACGTTTATTCTGCACTTTACAACAGTTTTTGAAAATAATAAGCCGTAATAATGAGACAATGGGGCTCTGTAATGCTTCCATGCGTTTTTACCGCGTTGCCTGCACTTGTGCTGAAGGTTCTTGCGTGTGTTTCGTAGATCATTGGTCGCGTCGTCGTTAGTCTCTCGACACGCGAACTAAGTCAAGTGATCGAAAACATCACGGCCCGTCATTTTTGAGGCAAAGTGTAGGTAAAAAAACTCACTGCATATTTACAGAGTGAATGATGACGAGTGGGGCGAAGCGCTGGAGGGTTTAAACCCTCCAGCGCTTAAACCCTCCATCGTTAAACAGTGAACCATCCGCGCACATTGCGCAGTACATCATCATAACCGTCACAAACACTGCATATATTTATACAAGAACTTTCATTATTCCTAAGTGATGGCTATACGTCGCTTCCGTTCCCCCTTCTTTATAACGGCTTTATGGTCGGTGAATTGGTGGATCGGTGATAGGGTGTTTTGGGATGTTTTCAAGGACGAAATAGTGCGTAGTTTGCAAAGGTGGAACAATAGGTGGTCACGTACATACACACAAGGAATAAACAGACTTACCCCTTTAGGAGCTTCAAGCCTAAAAACTACGTCGCTCCAAAATATTAGTGACCCGTAATTGCGTGCACGGTTTTATTAGCACGCAAAAAAGTGCCTCAAGAAGCATTGAGGAGCAAGGCATGAGTACGTCGTGCGAGAGCAGTGCCGCTTTAATGCATGCTTCTAACTCAGGACTATATGTTAGTTTAATGAAGTAATATCTTTTACTATAAAAAAGCAAACAATCTTTCAAGACTAACAGGAAAATTGTTTACAGCATACAATAGTTTACAGTCATGTGACAAGGCAGATAATTGAAGTTTATGCCACCAGGTGACATCACACGCTATTTTTGCGATTTTCAATGCAGAAATCAAAATATAACTCGAATTCTCTAGAAAAAAACGGGGTTAGCTTGAGTTACTATTAGGTACAATCTTTTCTCCTTGTCGTCATCTCATGTCATGTTCTGGCCAGTTGTCAGTCCCTTTAAGGAAAATTGAATTTAAGAGGAAATACACTTACGGCTAGTTTTTCATTTGCCCAGAACAATGCTTTTACAGCTGATCAATGGAAGCAGTGTGTCAGAATGCACAACAGTCATCTACTAGCAACACTGGTTAGTCAGAAACAGTTCCTGCCGTTTACCTTCTAAGTATTTGACGGGTATCTCTCAGCATGTCGAAAATATAAAGACGCATATAAGCAGCGTTACCCCTCAGGCTATTGCACCCGACATAAAAGAGTTGCTTGTGCTCCAAAACGTTAGGTTAAACTTTGCAGAAGACCTTGCTTAGGGTTTTCTTTCAGTGTGTTTCAAATATTACCGTACATGCAAGGTAAACGCCAAATTAAGGTCTCACCACTGTCAGGCCATTGTTTTCTGATACAATTAGAGAGGCATGTAAGTTGACGTCTTGATACAGGTTTTCTTCCAATAATTCCCCGTCAAGCTGCAAAGGAGAAAAAATTCTGTCTATTTGCAAAATTGTTCTGTGATTGGGTGACTTCTGTTAACTGCTAAGCTTCCTTCATGCTGCAATTCGATTTATTTTGAATTATGTAGCAGACACATTAGAGATGGGACAAGTATGAAAGACAAGTGAGCGCATACTTACAAGGTTGATTAAAAAAGGACTCAACACATAAGCACAAGAAATGCGCTCAGGGCATGGGTAATAGGAGTAACGCGGAATTATTTCATGGCATGCTGACAGATGATGAATGAATATTCACTAAGGTAAATTATTCATCGGTTAGTGTCAACTGACGACTGCCTGATACATTTGTCGGGAAATCTTTTTACATAAAATACTCGTGTAGTTATCAACGTTAGCTTATTTTCATTATAAGAGATCTGTGTATCACAAAAAGCCACACTACAGTTACATATGTCACAACGATCAGAATAGTACAAAAGCTTCGTTCCACACAAAATTTATGCTTCTTGAGACGGTTGGTAATGCTCCACTGGTTCGCTATTTACAATATTCCTACAGCTTAGTGGTACTCGCTAAACAAAACCTTTTCTGCATTTTTAAAACATTGATTTATCTTTCAAATCTAGCTAAATTTGCCATTGTTATGGCAAACCTTGTCGTAACTGCGAGGCAAAATGTCTATATTAGGAGACAACTCAATGCCATATGGAGTTAGCAACCTTATTTGACCCATGAGAAAAATTTATGAAGCTAAGGCATAGCCATACTGCGTTTTTTTACCGAGGTGGCGCTCTTCCTTAGTGGTGTTGCTTGCCCGCCCTGTGTCCCGAAAATCGCGGCAAACAGCTGATGCGCGCCTTCTGTGGTAGTTAATGATATCACTCTGAAAGCTTGGTTTACCTGCATTTGACTACGGCATATTTTAGCACAGGAACACGGTGAAACAATTTATGGATTGATTTGTAGGGTTTAACGTCCCAAAACCAAGATATAATTCTGAGTGACGCCGTAGTGGAGGGCTCCGGAAATTTGGTCTACTGGGGGTTCTGTAACGTGCACCCCATTCTGAGAACACAGGCCTACAGCATTTTCGCCTGCCAGTAAATGCAGCCACCGCAGCCGGGATGTGATCCCGTGACTTGCGGGTCAGCAGCCGGGTACCTTAGCCACTAGACCACCATAGTGAGACCACTGTGAAACGCATTTTCTTGTGGAAGAGTATTTCGCATAGACAAGGCAAGGGTTCAAAAATGTTACCAGGACACCTAATATTGAAGTGCAGTTTCGTCTTAACAGCTGCTTCTTTTCAAATCTTCCTATTTACAACGTCGCCATGAGATGACATGTAACCGCATAACAACTTGTTTAACAGGTACCACTATCTCGCTTTTGAAAAAATGAAAATTTTGTTTTCTGCTCAAACAAAACAGGTGACATATATAACAGAGCTCTTGAGATCACAAACACGTGCTCTGTGCAGAATACTTTGGACACAATATAAGCAAAGCGAGGACAGGTATTAACAGAATAGTTTTTCATTCAAAAGCATTTCATTCAGGTATAGCCATCTGATGCTCATTTTTTTTGCTTAGTATGTCATACAGTAGATTGCGACGAATAACCGATATTTGTTTTATCCTAACGAGCTATAATGGAATACTCACATAGTTATGTTCCATGACGTCCCCTTGGTACGTTCGCAACAAAAACTCTTCTGCTACTACTGAGCTTTTCTCCAGGTTCAACGTGATGTCATCTGTTAGTTTCACAATCATTTGGCCAGCTTCGTTCCGTTCTTCAATGAGATGCGGGTAAACAACGCCAACTGCCTCGGACACTGTTAGAGAGGCAAACAAAAGTTGGTTGCATAGCAGACGCTGCTTCCATTACCCGCCCACTAAAGATTATGTGACGCGGCAGCAGTAGCGTAACCAGAATATTTTTTTCAGAGAAAGGGTAGAATTTTAACCACACTTTATGTATTTTGCGCGTGTGCTTGCATGGGTGCGCGAACATATAGCCAATGAAAGTTCAAACTTTTTGGAGTGTAGAGATTTGAACCCACCAAACCCTCTAATGGCTACGACCATGCATGTGCTGTAGTAGTCGCACATATTTCCAATGATGTACTTTGCCAGCCTCTTGCACTTAATTTTCTGACGCCCACATCGTGATGTAAAGTTTCTTCGCAAGTTGCGCAACTGGCTCTATCAATAAATGAATAAACGTCATTTAAAGCGAAAAGAAGGAAGCAACAAAAGGAAGAAAGGCAGAGAGGTTAACCGGAAAGACATCCAGTTGGCTACCCTAAACTGAAGTATAGGCGAAGGCGATAAGAAAGATGAGAATGAGAGAAGAGAAGGGAAAAAATAGACTGAAAGCTTTTTTCACTGCAGTGTGTACAAGTTCACCGCAAAGCAGAGGCATTAACACTAATCCGTCTTCCTCAAAAAAACACAAAAAGGCTTTCACTGCCTTTTGGTCTGTCGAGGGATGTGAACGTTGCTCTACTAGCACCTGCACAGCAAGAGGCAGATCATTCAGTCAACGCATTGCGTTGGCAAGTACTTGTCTCTCTGGGGCAAATGAAGGACAGTGGCACAACAGGTGTTGGATATTCTCATCGTTGACGCAAACATCACATGCTGCACTGTCACTTCTTCCAATTAACATGATATAAGCTTTGGTGAAAGCAACTCCCAGCCAAAGGCGATAGGGAAGCGAAGCCTCACATTGATGTAGGCCGGGTTGAGGCTGGAGTTGTGGTGAAGGGTCAAGTTCATGTAGTCTGGTACGTCGTATGCTTGGTGAGTTCGACTCAGACAGTGTAAGTGAATCCAGCTCTTTTCTTCGGGCTAACCGGGCGGAAGATAGGACTGGCTCCTGTCATGAAATGCCCACCATCAATGATAAAGGTGGCAGTTCGTGTGACGGGCTCGAAAACCTTGGGCACCGTGGCATCTTAGAAGTGCTGCCGTGTACGAGGTCTTAAGCCAGCTACGAAGGACGTTGACTATGGCCTTCAACTATATAGCTAGAAGTACTTAGCACGTAAGACGCATGGTGGTGTTGTTGGTGGACTCAAGGTGGAATCGCTAGTTTGGTTTATGTGTATAGGTGGACAGATTCGCATAACAATGGCGCATCATCGTGTGTGCATCCTCTTCTTTTGAAGCCTTTGTGAACAGCTGGAACATGTTAAAAATTTGAAGCTTTGAAGCGATCAATTTTTACCTCAGTAATGGAGGTGTCAAAGACATATTCAGCAAAAGATAAGTCAGGAAAGCTGGAACAACTTTGTCATTAAGGTATTGCCATTAAAGAGAACATCAAACGACCCAAACTAACGTAAAAAAAGTCCATTAGGGAGAAGCACTTATAAACTGGCAGATGACCACCGACATATCTTATCTGTGCTGGTAGTTTCATATTGCAATTTGCTTTGCGCGAAGAATGTCTTCTTCCGACACTACAGTGTCGCAATGTTTAAACGCGATAGCATTGAAGAGATGGTTTCATATATATTCCGGCGTTGGCTTTCATGTCGCAGGTTGTGAGCGAAAAATCTTCTTGCGGGTGACCGAGAAATTGGGAAAGAACCAAATAAAACAAACAAAATTCGGGGTCTGAGTGGGTATTGCACTCGCGTTGTTTGCGTGGCAAGCTGGTGTTCTACCATACGGCCGCGCGTATTTGTATTATTGCATTCAATACAAATGCGGTTTCCACGGATGCTTGAGAATACAGAAAAAAAAATTCATCTGCTTGGAAATGCTGCCTAAGTAACATTGATAATTTCCAAATACACATGTCCCGAATGCATGCTTCACAATACAACATAAAATATTATGGTAGTGATCCACAGTACAAGTGTAACTTACCATCGGGCATCAGAACACGTAATTATCATATTGAATTCATGGCCACGTAGTGTGTCTACAGCAAGCTCGAAAAGATTTTATCCACTATAAGTTTTCGAAGTACGCACTATAAACAGGATATCGCTGTAGCTTTTAGCTTTTTAAGGCGAAGCTCAACGGGCCGCTAATTTTTATTGTGCAATGCTGATATTTGTTACTGCAACGAGCAAGGTTAAGTAAAAATACAGGTTATTATTCGAGAAACGTTAGCAGCAACAAGCTGGTACAGGCAGGAACCCGGCAAGCACGAGCCACACACGGACGTCAACGTTTCTTTCACACTGGCACAGAGCTGGCGCCACTATGCTTCGGTACAATTACTCCCCGCGCAGAAAGGAGCTAACCTGGCGACCTAGAAAAAGGACACGACAAGGAGGTCATAGCACGGTTTGAGGCGTGATACGTGTACTGTTTCACGCCCACGGCAGCGTTGGGCCGAAGGTGGATCAATGGGCTCAACTTCATAGTTGACAGGAGATGTTTGCCGCACCACACGGTAGGGGCCGTGGTATTTCGACGAAAGTTTCGGGGAAAGACCGGGAGAGGTAGACGGGACCCAGAGTCAAACCAGCATTCCTGGGTTATAGTGTACAGTAGACGCAGAGGAATCGTGGTCAGTTTTCTGGCGCCATTCATCTTGTGCGGTAAGTGATCGAGCGAGTTGACGACACTCTTCGGCATAAGCAGCTGCTTCAGAAACAGGCGTCGCTTCGGAAACATCAGGCCTGTAAGGGAGAATGGCGTCCATGGAGCATGATGGCTCACGTCCGTACAGAAGGACGAAAGGAGAAAAGCCAGTGGTTGTTTGTGGCGCAGAGTTGTACGTGTACGTGACAAAAGGGAACACTTGGTCCCAATTAGTGTGGTCGTCAGAGGCGTACATGGCAAGCATATCTCCAAGGGTATGGTTAAAGCGTTCCGTCATGCCATTGGTTTGAGGATGGTATGCCGAGGATTTCCGATGGCCGGTGCGACATGCCTTGAGCAGCTCGTCAACGGCGTTCGAGAGAAACACGTGTCCACGGTCACTCAGTAATTCACAAGGTGCACCGTGTCGCAAAATGAGATGGTGAAGAAGAAAGGACG